ATGTGCACATGTAATAAGTTCTACGTTGCGCATGACTGGTCGACTAGCCTGTGTTCTTGTCCCCTGAGAAGTAGCCATGTCACAAGAAGTTCAGACTGCGTGGTGAACAAACCTATCATTTCCGAGGGCTGAAAGTCAAAAGTCAAATGAAAATCAAATAAACTACTTGAATCATAATATAAAATGTCTTTGCGAAAATCAAAATCGATTCGTTTAGAGAGTCTTGTCAGCGTAGTCAACTTAGAACCAAATTCCTTAGTAGTTAGTGCTAATGAACTTGAGCTTTTTCTTGTTTTTAAAGGCAGTAAGTTTCGCTTATCCGTGTATCAACTGCAAACTAGTTATGATCGGAGTATAATACTGGGACGTGATCTAAAGGCGAGCTCGAGATCACTAACACATGCTCTTCGAGCCTGACGTGACCTCTCATCAATAACCGGAAGTATTCACCTTTTCACCACGGTATTAAGCCAGTTAAACATTTTCAAAGATACAAACTGCGCCTTGACCCTGCTGGTATTCAACCACAATAGTGAGTCCTATAACTCTAACCACATCAATGTCAGATCACTGTGGGGTAGGTTTAGGTATCTCAGTCACCTGCCCCCCTCCTAGTTACTTCAGTTGAAGCATACGCACATCCATTTAATTCCAAACATAGGACTTGTGAATAAGTCGCCGTATTCACGCGAAGTTGCTTGCTAGTGCAGTGAAAAGTGACACTGTAAGGTGTTTCCCTCGGACAACCAGCATCTGCAGGGATGCTGCCTTTCACAAAGAAGGACGGGGTCAGAAAAGGTCGACTCTAAAAATGCCACACATCACCTTACCTCACGGATTTCCACCTCCGGCGGTAAGGCCTTTTGAAGACCGGGACCGACACATTCGAGACCTCCCACAAAAAAGCCGTGAGTGGCCGGGCCCAAGCAGTTGCTCCCTGGGCTCTGTGGTCACGCTCCCTAATCCGATTTCCTTTTCAGGTTCCTCAAGAAAACCCTCTCAGGGTGTGGCCAGCCGGGAAGTGACATCAGCCCTCATACCCGTAACAGCACACAAAACCAAGTTTGTCACATTCAAATCCTTCCTACACCTCCTCATACCTCTCTTATCTCCATGACTAACCCCTCTCACGTCCTTTTATCACCTCGCACCGCTAGGGCAAACGATTCGAGTGCGCGGAACGTTATTCCCGGTCTCCTGAAACCTTGCTCGAAACTACAAGTAGGAGATTTTAACGTCCGAACACCGTGCCGAATGAGACGACAGGCTTCCTTCAATAGGACTTTAAAATCTCGCACCATCAATGTGTGCTAGGTCTCCGAAACGCGCATGCAGTATCCGAGTAGCGTCATTCATTTGGCCTTGTAGTGTCGGTTATTATGTTAAGCCCATATATCTTATTCTAGCTTTCGGGCAGTTCAATCTATTCATTCTACTTGAGACACATTCTGACCTTGTTAATTATTCGCTTACCAATCTTGACTGTTTTCATGTAAGCGCGTAGGTGTGTGCACACTTCTTATCCCATTACTCACCACGTATCAGTAACTTACTTTTGTGTAATTATAAATGTTGATTGGCGCTTGGTTAAAGGGGAGTTCGCTTACCAGGCATCTCCACTCTGCGTCGTTTCTCTTCTCTCTGTTCCATTACCTTCATATACAAAATATATGTATCCAAAAGTCCACTCTCGTTATTTGCCTTATTTAATTCCGTTATTGACTAACGCGATTTAAGTCGATCATTATATACGAGGATCAGGAGATAACAAAAATTTATATGATCAAATTTGAGTCAGATGTCAGGCCACTAAAACCTCACCATATGAAAATAAAGAACCAAATCGATTGATGCTTCGTGTATCTGGAAGCCCTGATTCTGCTTCCCGTGGCCTTGCCAGCGTAGATATAGCATTGAGTCCTAGGGCAGAACTAGCTCTCTTAGACTGGATCCTAGTAGACAGTCGTTTGTGCAAAGTCCGACTCAACGGAACAGTAAAAATCCGGAAAGATAGGGACAATCGTCGTTGCCTCTTCGTCGTCTCTGCCTATTCTCCCACTGACTGCAGCTCAGATTATGTAAAAGACGAGTTTTAGAGAAAGCTTTCCGACCTTCTCCGAAAAGCTAGGCGCTCTGATGTAGTAATGGTGGCTGGTGACTTTAATGCTCAAGTAGGTAAACTAAGCGATAGGGAAAGAAACCTAGGTGGATCTTAGGTGTCGTGGCTCAACAAACAGATAATGGCGACCGTCTGTTGCAAATATGCTCAGATAACCGCCTGTTCCTTGCAAATACTAACTTAGCATAGGAAAACATCTTTTAACATGGCGACCCCCTAATTCGTCCCAACGTTGGACCCAAATAGATCACATCGCTATCAGCCACCGATGAAGGGGCTCGATAGAAGACTGTCGCTCATTCTGGAGCACATGCTTAGATTCAGATCATCCTCTAGTGCGAGCGCATGCCCGTTTGCGTCTTACTGGACGTAGGAAAGACGCTGCAAGGAAACCTCTTAGAGCCCTACTTAATGATAGTCAAGCTAAGAGTATATTTCAGGAACAACTAGGAAAACAGTTAGGCACCCATGTATGTGATGCCCTCCCCGAGGAAGCATGGAATGATATCCGAAAAGCTGTGGAAACAGCAGTGATATCTGCTAGTAAGGTAACCCGTGGGTTTAGGGAGCAACACTGGATCTCAGCAGCATCTATCGCACTGATAGATGCTCGGAAACTCATTCCACCTGGCTCTGAACATAATGAAGAGCGGAGTCAGCTTAAGCGCCAGCTGACAAGAAGCCTACGCAATGATCGTGAACAGTGGTGGGTAGCGAAAGCAAGACAGATGGAAAAGGCAGCAGCAATAGGTAATAGCAGACAATTGTTCAGACTCGTTAAGGAAACCGGAATCAGGAACCCGACTGTTAGCGAAACAATCTCAGAGAAAGATGGAGATATTATTCATTCTCAATCCAGGAGATTGGATCGATGGGCAGAACACTTTAGGGATCAGTTTAACTGGCCTTCAGCCACACTTCGGTTTACCACGATCTCCAGTCAACCTGAATGGCAAGTTAATGTAGGTCCCCCGTGTCTGTACGAAGTTGAAAAAGCCATAAGAAATCTGAAGCGAGGGAGAGCAGCAGACCATGACAGGTTTACTCCTGAGATTTTTAAGGATGATGGTCCAGGACTAGCAGTGAGATTAACCGAGGTCTTAGGTAGGAACTGGACGTAATCTCAGCACGGATAAAGAAGGCTCGATCAGCTTTTGCCAACTTGCGTCATTTATGGTGTAAGCGAGATATCCGTCTATCAACCAAAGCAGGTTTACTGCGCAGCAGTTCGTTCCGTCCTACTTTGTGGCAGTGAAACATGGCCGGTAAGAGTTGAGGATATTCCTAAGTTACTAGTATTTGATCATAGGTGTCTTCGAAACATTGCTCGTATATCCTGGGAACACCGAGTAAGTAACACAGTTGTTAGGAAACGAGTACTAAGTAAGGATGACAAATCAATTGATAAAGTAGTGAAACTTCATTAGTTGATATGGCTGAAACATGTTTACGTATGCCCAACCACCGACTGCCTCGACGCGCGATGTTCAATGGTATAGGAGTAGATCAGAAGAAAGCTAGGGGGGCCAGACCAGAACATGGCACAAGTCCATGAAGTCACTGACAAGTGGACTGAGTCATGTTGGTAGGTGTAGACTATCTGGTTGCGATCCGCGAGATGATAGCAACCGATGGTTAGAGACCCTGAATGACATGGTTCATAATCGTTTGCAATGGCGCAAGTGCATCCACTATTTGTGTTCTCCTAAATTCTAATATTCTGAATTTTCCATGTCCTTTTCTTTTTCCTATTTCAAAATTTCTTTCACGTATTATACTCCTTGAATAACATCTTCAAACCATAATCTTTCCGATTACTGCTTACACTCTTACTACTTCTACCAATACGGGATTTCAATCGACAACTGCATCTCCGTGCTAATATGGTGTGGCAACTCGAACTGATGTATGTACGTACGAAGTTCTACCTTGTTACTGACTGACTGAAATCAGCATAGAGCACTGGCTCAAGTTGACATACTACATCAGCATGAATAATTTACATAATGTATAGTAAGAATGGTTGGAATTATGTAGTGCCAGTGATAACAAAAAAGACTAAGCATTAAGAAGAGAGTCCGAGTGTAAGAACATACATGAATGCTGAATCGTGAAAACGACATACTAATCAATGTCACGTAAACTCTACAGCCACTGATTGCAGTTATTGCGAAGACCACAACCAAGTAATCTGTATTTATTAACATGATTCAGAAAAACAGCCAATGACTTTGTGGAGTGATAACCTTGCTTATTTCCAACGTACTTCTATACAAGTAAACATTACCCGTCGAGGTAAAGGGTAAGTAAATATACGTAACACATGTCTTAGTCTATGAAGATTCACAAACACAACATGACAATAAAAGTTGTCATAGAAGCCGGAAAAAATTCTTAAAATTCACTGAGCAGTACAAAACTCCGAAAAAAAAACGCGTATTTGCATTAGAAGTATGGTAACGCTTATTGTGAGAAAGAGACTATGGGTCGATGATAATATCCACTGTCATATAACTTTGGTTTTTAATTGGTATAAGACAACAGAAGAGCACAAATACCACAAAATGTCAAGAATATAAGATGATTGATATTTAGAAATATGATAAACGCAAAAAAGTTATTAATACAGATAAACTATTTAGATAATTAAAAAAAAACAACAATTTAGTGTATGTAGAACTGAATGAAGAAAAACGATAACGGGATCACAGTTAGCGTTACAAATACTCCCCCCCCTCCCGAAAAAACAAAAATTGATATGTTGTATTAATCCTAAAAACAAGATGTACATTTATCACAAAATTAATTTGAATAACATAACAATACAAAACTGAATATATAATGTATATTGTGAAATAGTTAAGATTTATGGCCTTTATAATTATTTCTTATTATCTATTCTATTTGAATGTAATAATATATCGTCGTTGAGTAATTGATCAAAATGTATAGAATCATTTTCATTTATTTCGATATTATTCTCATCGTAATTATTACCATTCGAATCATTGGGATTGAACGACGACGACGTTGATAATGATGATATAACTGATACTGATTGAGGAACTGAATTATTATTATTTGTCCTTAAATTACACGATTTCGTTGTGATTTCTGCTGTTGCAAAAGTAGTATTAGTAGTGTTCTGTTTATACAAGAAAATGAGTATATAAAGTTAAGCAAAAATTAATTAATGAACAATTCATAGGATGATTACAAAAGTATACGAATACCTTCTTTCAAAAAAGGTATGCTATGAGTTTACATTAACTGATCATTGAAAACCAACTGTTATGTTTGTCTAACCCACAATGATGACAGAATTCTATTGATGAAGCTATAAGTTGGTTACTAAATAGTGACTAAACAATTTAAAAGCTCTAATCATATAGGAAATCAATAGTGGATCTGATAGCTGAATTGTAACGTGGGTTTGAACTCCAAAAGTAGCACTAATTCTCCCAAATTCCCAGGTGTCAACTAGTACGAACATAGGTGTAGAGTTCCCCACTGACTTCTTTCAATTACCTAACACAGTGTGAACATCTTGTATTATGAAAAAGGGTTCAATAAACTACCAAAACACTACGTTAAGACCTATGACACGTTTAAAACTAAATGGTTAAATTTATTATAATTATTTGTGCTTGTACATTTCAATCCATTAATCAATATATACACAGTCATTCATATTTCTTTGTAGTGAATTGCTTCAGAAGAAAAAAAACTCTCGAGAACTATAAACTCCAGAATGGAACAAATAAAACTTTAATGTGAAATCTTTTTGTTGAGTTGTGTCAAGGAAGTCATATTACTCATTAGCTTATGGCCAAGATCTAAGTTAAATTCGAAGTCGGTGGTTGTTACGTATGCTCAACCACCGACTGCCTCGACGCGCGATGTTCAATGGTATAGGAGTAGATCAGAAGAAAGCTAGGGGAGGCCAGACCAGAACATGGCACAAGTCCATGAAGTCACTGACAAGTGGACTGAGTCATGTTGGTAGGTGTAGACTATCTGGTTGCGATCCGCGAGATGATAGCAACCGATGGTTAGAGACCCTGAATGACATGGTTCATAATCGTTTGCAATGGCGCAAGTGCATCCACTATTTGTGTTCTCCTAAATTCTAATATTCTGAATTTTCCATGTCCTTTTCTTTTTCCTATTTCAAAATTTATTTCACCGTATTATACTCTTTGAATAACATCTTCAAACCATAATCTTTCCGATTACTGCTTACACTCTTACTACCTCTACCACTACGGGATTTCAGTCGACAACTGCATCTCTGTGCTAATATGGTGTGGCAACTCGAACTGATGTACGTACGTACGTACGAAGTTCTACCATGTTACTGATTGACTAAATTCGAAGAAAGTGAACAAATCCAGTAAGAAAGTATGTAATCAAACAGAAGAACAAGTGTTTCCCGATTACTTCATTTAAATGGAATATTTAGTGTTATACATTGAAAACAGTGAATTTCCCTTCAGTTATAATTTAACTACTTAAGAAGTATTCAAATGACCATATAATATAAAGGCTAAGACAAATTACTGTAACGTGATAGGTAAAATGATGGCAAATATAATACAGAATAGAAAATCAATATAATATTATATGGATCCAAAATAGTTTAATACATATTATGCTTTATAGGAGAGTAATGATAAAATTAAAGGATGTTGTGAATAAGTGTTGATAATATGTGATTGAAGGCAAGTGTAAGGAGATGAACATATTGTAGATTAAAATATATTCAGCACAAACGTAATATTTCTTAGCTCATATGTACTCGGATGAATAACTGACTTAAAAAAAAAGAGATAACATAACTACAAATAATATTAGACTTCAATTGACCATACAAAAGTGAACTTTCAAGGGTGGCTTTTATGGACTAGTTTGCTCTATAATGACAAAACTCAAATCATAAAATAATGACATCACCGGAAATGTAGAAATATCACAGTAATTACATTTAATATGAAAGATGAATACTTTCAAAACAACTGAGAACACACATAGTTCTCCTATATTAGCACTGGAATGAATTAATAACAATAATGAAATCTCCAAGCATTAGATTACATAATTAAGTTGAATGATTGATAGACAACAGTATGATGATGTGAGATACTAAAATATGACTTACTTCAGAATTACTGATTTGTTCAGTACCACTTGATAATGTTTTAGAACGCGTCAATTTGCCCTAAAAAGTGAAATATATACATACCGGTTATCGTTTTAAACGATAATCTGGGTACATTTGAAGAGAAATTAATCAGTTTCCATCTTATAAATAACTCATTTCACGGTTTCCCATCAATCGTAAATAGTTGAAATTTACAATGAATTACAATGGTTAAAAATAAAAATATGACTTATTTCATTTAATCAAAATGAAGTGGATGTTTTCGTAAACGGACAGAAAAATCACACACAAAAATACATTGTAGTGGAAACTGATATGACATAAAGAACATTTAGCTGTACAAAGAGAGATGAGACTACAATTAATGATGCAAATAACTGTAATTGATTACATAATCAAGATTGCATGGACAGAAGTTAATGGGTAGAGAAAAATACTTAGGTCATAATACATGTGGTCACTGCTTTAAGGAATCAAACCGTGCAAACAGAAAGAGAGGTTAGACATGCTTTCCTTCTGTGAATATATATATATATATATATATATATATATATATATATATATATATAATTCAACAAACAACAACATAACAAACCAATTGAATGAAAATACAAATAAAAAGTAAGGTAAACTTGATTAATTTTGAACACTAGACGGGCTAATGAATAGTTGCCTATTAGTTTTGTGGTATGTGATAATGATGTCGACAGAGATAAGTAGTATGCATGATCAGTTGGAAGTGATAAGCCTGGCATCATAAGGTTAAGGAGATCGAATGTGAGAGAACGAGAACCGAGAATGATTGATTGACATTTTGCAAATAAGGTATTTAATATATGGTTCTCAGATTGTACTAGAATGTTCTATAATTTTGTATTCAAATACATTCGATTGTTCCCATTTGTGTTCTCATTCACTACAATATGAAGTGTTAAAACACTCGAAAATCAAATGGAATAAATATGAGACAAAATAAAGATCCAAACTGTTTTTGTGGGTTGTTTCAACAAAGAAAGAAAACAAGAAACAAAATATTAGAATGACAGTGAAAAATAGTTTAATAGAATTCAAATCAATTTATCGAACAATGTCGAATAAGTTAATAATATATGGATCGATATTTAGATAGTAAGCTTAATAATACAGTGTCATTTACTGAAAATGCAAAATACAATAGTAGTAAATAGAATAGAATATACACATGTTAACAGATGAGTGTGCGAATGAAGAATTTTTTTGAAAAACAAACAAACAAACATTTTAATACGTAAGTAGAAGATAAATTATGTAATTTGAATAGTCTATATTGCAATATGATGAAGTTGACTTCAGAATTCCATTTGACAAAATGATAATTGTGTTGGGATATTCAGGAAAGTATCCCAAGAATTATCCTGTTAAGCCTAATGTTATCCTTGGACATGAAATGATATCATCTTATTGGTGAATATTTGTTTAACGTGTCATTTTCCTACTGGCCATTATTGTACAATGTTATTTTCTATTTTATGGGACGTTGTGGTCTGCTTGACTGGTATATAAACAAAGTATGTTTGAAATACAATGATTCATATCTCCGAGGCTGTCATATGTGTTCTGGACTCAACTGGCTGGGTTAGATAGGGAAGCGAGGCCAATCAGAACCCTAGGTCGTTCTACGTGTTTGTGCGTCTTTGGTCCGATCAATAATTCCCTACCCTTAATCCGCAGCATCATTTTCACGTTATAACAATTGGCGACGGGATGGGATGGATTGATATCTCAAATACACAGTGAGCTGAAAAATGACAGCAGCCTACTTGAATCCTCGATGAACTGTACTTCAAACGAAACAGTCATCCATGATGCGCCCAGTGGTCCAGTACTTTCTATTCCAGAAACATGCCCGGTAATGGAGTCAAACTCTATCATCCCCGAAACAGCATGTGCAGACAGTAACATATCCAGCTCACGAGATCTCATTGTTTTGCCAGAAAATGTGTTCCACGCATCAAATAATAACCAAGAACCTGGTACAGTTTTGTTGGACGCCGATTATCATAATGATCCACTACTTACTAAAGATTTAAACCCTGATGACTTCAAATTGGATGGCGTTTATCCTCAATATCTGATCGATTTTACTGGATTCCCTGTGCAATATGTTTTAAATACAATCAAATTAATTGTAATTTGGGTTTATGAAGACCCAACATTATTTCGCGGGGGGGGGATAGACGCGGAAGAAATTTAAAATCCGGACATCAACTCCGTATCTCCAAAAAAGGGAGGTGTTGGGATATTCAGGAAAGTATCCCAAGAATTATCCTGTTAAGCCTAATGTTATCCTTGGACATGAAATGATATCATCTTATTGGTGAATATTTGTTTAACGTGTCATTTTCCTACTGGCCATTATTGTACAATGTTATTTTCTATTTTATGGGACGTTGTGGTCTGCTTGACTGGTATATAAACAAAGTATGTTTGAAATACAATGATTCATATCTCCGAGGCTGTCATATGTGTTCTGGACTCAACTGGCTGGGTTAGATAGGGAAGCGAGGCCAATCAGAACCCTAGGTCGTTCTACGTGTTTGTGCGTCTTTGGTCCGATCAATAATTCCCTACCCTTAATCCGCAGCATCATTTTCACGTTATAACAAATTGTATGCAACATAAATGATTGGGAACAAGCAAATGATAATGTGTGAACAAAAGGGATAGATTTCCTAAACTAAACACTAAATTATTCTCAAAATAACTATCATCTTCAATAGAGCTTACTAATAAGGAGCAATACTGATATACATATCCTAGAATGATATAGACATCTAGATAAATAACAAGGAAAAATGGATAGCGAATAGCATTGCATAACTATTACGTTTGAAAATTCCGAACAATATCCACTTATTCTTTAAATTACATCCAAATCTGAAGGTCGGAAAAAATACAATGTAAATAGACTTCTTTTTAAAGAATGAACTACTCCAACTATAGTCTTACAATACCGTGGAATTCTTAGAAAATATAAATGACTGCTCAATCCAGTCTTTCTGTTATTATAGGTTCATAAAAACGTTGGCAAAAATGGTAACAGTAGAGCTGATTGGGAAATTTAACATATGCCCTTTTACTTCCAATAAAAAATTTCGATCTATTGAGGAGAAAAAATATTAATTTTTATCAACTCCAAGTAAAACTGGATTTATAGATAGATGAGTTATGTAGTTGACTATAAGTGAAGACAGAAAGCTGTAACGCTCGTAGTTAATAGATACAGCACAGTTTGCAATTGCCTGAGTGGATAACCAAACAATTACTTGGTTACCCAATGAAGACATCCTTCAAGTTGTCTGAACATTGAAATAAACATGTATGTACGCAACAGAAACTAGAGAATTTCTACAGAAGGATAGAAGAAATTACATCACAAAGCGGTCCACAACTTCAAGAAGCTAGATAGATTAAGACTCTTCTACATAGCAGAACCTATCTGGGATCAACTCCAGAAAGTCTAACTTATGCATCCAGAAGAGGTATATTAAACTTTTGTGCTTATCTGGATCTACGACTAGATCACTAGGTACCTGAACTGGATATTGTAAATCCCTTACCCACACCCAATTTTTTGTGTGTTCCTATCTTTCATAATCTACACATTGATCTTTCGCAATTCACATGAATTCTTATCATAATCACTTTGACAGCATCTTACTTATTACGTATCATATTCACACGACGTCATTATCTCTATTAACGAGGGGAAATTTGCTCAATATGCATTTTATTGACATAATTTGCTTTATCATTATCATATTGATTATAACTTGACACCTAACAACGAAGCCTTTTGATTTTTTTAAGTTTACAAATAATACAATTTCAAGGTATTTATGCTGTAACAGAGGTAAAGATTCATCACTTTTTTAAAATTCACTAGCATGCTTTATTTTGGCCTTAATAAAATAACAACAGTTACGGATTTATAACTGCAGAGACTGTTGTCGAGGTTATTGGAAACAATTCGCCCAAAAATTTTTTTGCTTTGTTTTCTTTTTGACTAATCTATAGGGATTTTGTAAGTGATTTAAAAGCTATCAGACCAGCAATAAAACATTTGCCAACAGATGTCAAGTCTTAGACAAAGTGAAAATTTTCTTATCTCTAAAACTACAGTAATTCAAAGTTGATGTTTTATTTTGATTAATCATGTTATAAAACCAGAATCAGAAGATTAAAAATACGTTTTGAGGATTATATAATCTTATTAGGTATAATTAAACACTTACGTAAACATTGAGACACGCTGAACCCACTTTATTCTCCAAGGATTTGTATGTATTAGTTTGTCTAAAATGTATCAAAGAAACTATTAAACTAAAACACATTTATCTTAGTACAATCAAATTGGTTTTTCATTCAATTACATTAACCTATCAGTTTACGAATGAAAACATATCAACTTTCTACACACTATGGCCTATTAATTTGTATAACCTTTAAAATCATTATCTATACATTGATTTGGTTGTGTTTTTTTAGTAGGCTAATTAATGTTGAAGAATATTGTTACTCACAGAAGCTAAATTTCAGTATAATTGTTGGGGGTATGACATATTTACGTATTTCTAACTTATTAACTCACGAACTCACTAACGCCTGTTACTCCTAATAGAGCATAGACCGCAGACCAGCATTCTCCAACCCACTCTGTCCTCGGCCTTCCTTTCTAGTTCCATCCGATTCTTGTTCATTTTTTCTCATGCCTATCTCCGTTTCCCAGCGTAATGTGTTCTTTGGTCTTCCTCTTTTCCTTTGGCCTTGAGGATTCCATGTGAGGGCTTGTCTTATGACGCAGTTGGGTGCTTTCCTCAATGCGTGTCCTATCCACTTCCAACACTTCTTCCTGATTTCTTCCTCTTCTGGGATCCGGTTTGTTTTTTCCCACAGTTGGTTATTGCTAATAGTGTACGGTCAACGGATTCAAAGTATTTTGCGTGGACAACTGCTAATAAACACCTGTATCTTCTGGATGATGGCTTTCGTAGTTCTCCAAGTTTCCGTTCCGTACAGTGGAACTGTCTTGACATTTGTATTGAAAATCCTGACCTTGGTGTTGGTTGACCGTTGCTTTGAGTTCCAGATGTTCCTCAGTTGTAAATATGCTGCTCTCGTTCTGCCGATCCGCGCCTTCACATCTGCATCAGATCCACCCTGCTCATCAATGATGCTGCCCAAATATGTAAAAGTTTTAACATCTTCCAAATCTTCTCCGTCAATTGTGATTGGATTGGTGCATGTTGTGTTGTATTGGAGAATCCTGTTTTTCCCTTTGTGTATATTGAGACCTACTGTTGCTGAGGCTGCTGCCACACTGTTCGTCTTCTCCTGCATTTGTTGTTGCGATTGCGATAGAATGACCAGATCATCTGCGAAGTCTAGATCGTCCAACTGCATCCTAGATGTACACTATATCCCGTGTTTCCCTTCAGATGTTGACGTCTTCATGATCCAGTCGATCATCAGGAGAAATAGAAAGGGTGAGAGTAAGCAACGTTGCCTGACACCAGTCTTTACTTCGGACGAGTTTGTCAATTGTCCTCCATGCACAATTTTGCAGTTTAATCCATCATATGAATTCTGTATGACATTGACTATCTTCTGAGGCACGCCGTAGTGTTGAGGAAGTTTCCATAGTGTTGTTCTGTCCACGCTATCAAATGCTTTTTTGTAGTCAATGAAGTTGATGTAGACTGATGAATTCCATTCAATTGATTGTTCCACAATTATCCGTAGAGTTGCGATTTGGTTTGTACACGATCTATCCTTACGGAATCCTGCCTGTTGGTCGTCTACTTACTCACGAACAGCCTGGGTTATTTACTGTCAACGTTTTTATTTCTATCTATAAAAATATCTCAAATAATGATCGACAGATGCAGCTTTGAAATATACAAGTAGTTATCTGACAAAGAGTTACTTGAAGAATTCTTAATCTATAAAGGTTAAGTAAGATCATTTTGTGAATGCACTTAACTCCAGTTATACTTAAATTGTAGTTAAATTTTGTACATATCGTTAAAAGTAATCCAAATAATAACGAGGTTGTTTTAAACGTAAAAAAAAGTATAGTGCAAAATTTTTCAGGAATGTTATATTTTATGCAGAAGTAATTAGCAGACTATAAGTCGTACAGCCTTTTTTAAACAGTGAAAATCGTATGTAATGTATGGTGCATGGACCTGACGTCCCGGTTAAGATCGTGCTATTTGGATCAATTGTAAAATCAGTAAGTCTACGAATCGTTAAGTGATTTTATATAGTCTAAGTAGGTAAAAAAAAACACAGACACATATATAAGACAAGTGCACATAGATGAAAGTTAGTGATTCAGTTAGTCAGCTACAACGTAGGACCAGGCACATATATGACTGCCGTACAGTACATTCGTCCTTTAATTGATAGACGGATATCTCGCCTTCACCACAGGAGACAAAAGTTAGCAAAAGCCATGCAGATACTTTGTCAAAAACCAACCCATTTGGGTTGATCAGACTTCCAAGTGAAGTTGTTGACGCGTTCGACTACTTCACTCCCTATCCTTAGTTCAGGTGTTGACGTAGGCCAGTTCTGGAGCAACAACTTGCATTTAAGTGAGGACAAAAGGAACCCAAACATTCTGGCATTGTTGCTCAGTGTTACCAAAAGACTCTGCATCTTATCAGAGTTTTCGCTTAACAGGACTACGTCATCTGTGTATTCCAAGTCAATAAGTGGAACACTTGCTAGGAGATCGATTCCCGAAAATTCAGACGACGAGAACGTTATTTCCAGCAGTAGGCTTATGATGAAATTGACCGAAAATGGAGATAGTGGGTAGCTTTGATGCACATCACTTGAGGTTGAAAAATCAGATGACAGTTCGCCATAAGCTCTGACTCAACTGATAGTGTTTAAGTAAGTAGCCTTCACTGAACGTTCAGCCGAACAACACATACGCAAATGTTACCACGGGGTCCATCTTAAAAGTGCTTGTTCTGCCCTCGTACTTAGTGCTATGTCCACACCCGCCAGTCCACAAGAACTTGCCATGAGGTCGCCAGATAAACTGAGGGTATATCTCGTCAGCTCCTCATTTTGGCGAAGTGAGGTTAAGTGAATGACCACACTAGGATCTTGTATGCGTGCTTTGAAGACATAGGATATGTTAATCGTACGAGATTCTGGGGTTTCAGCTAAGGAGGCCTGCTGGCCGATTTGACATACGGTACGTACGTTGAAGGCTCCAAATAGTTTAGAGAGGTTTCAGTAGACTTGGGACAGTATTTCGCGCACAAAAGTCATTGGCCACGGTGACACTTGAGGAGGAACTCGAAGGAGGAATTTTAGAGTCGATAGTCAAGGTAGGAGAAATAATAGGAATCGGAGAATGAAAGTGATTATGAACACACTGGTCTTGAGTGCGGTTAGAGGCATAAGGGCGATCATCACTTCCCGGCTGCCCACACAGTAGAAAGGTTCCTCTAGAGATACCTGGACAGGAAATTGGGTTAGGGTTGATCTTAGCGACTTGAGAGAATGACCGCAGTGCCTAAGTGACAACTGCTTGAGGCCGGTCACACGACCTTTTTGTGTTAGCTCCGTACTAGTCCAGACGCTACCGTCGGAGACGGATATCCGTGAGATAAGGCAGTGTATATTTTTATGATCGAGCTTTTGGGAAGGCAGTATTGCCGTTACGCTGGTTTTCTGAGGGAGACCTTACTGCTAACACACCTGTTGTACAGTCAGCAGTACGACTGTTTCAGTCACTATAACCACCACGTCAAGGTAGCCGTTAAACTAAGTAAACTTGCTTTCCATAATTCTAGTTCTGATAAAAATTTCATAAGTTACATGTTTAACTTTGTCTTGTCAATTTTTATAGGGATGAAATAAATTGAATGGAAACTGTTAAATATCGTACGAGAACTACATACTTTTTCAACACTAGGGAGAACCGATAGCAGCACCACATGCGTTGAAGAATCACGATGTTTTTAATCGTGCTTATAAAGAACGAATATCTCCTGGTCTCAGTCATTCATGAATGTTAAATATACTACTAGTTACTTTTTCACCTGAAAAGTCCAATGAAGATGAAGTTAGGATGAAAAGCCCGACCGAAGCTGCTACCTTGACGCGGTGGTCGGGCTTGCCTATCGTGATGACCCAACAGAGCTATATTGGCTGGAACATATGTTCCTGTAGGTTCTACCATGCCAGGCAAGTCGATTGGAGAACGGTAAGACTAAAAGCAGCAACTCAAGGTCTGAGGGCGAAGTCGTACTGCTGACTGTACAGAGATGTGACAGCAGTAAGGTGTTTCCCTCGGACAACCAGGATCTGCAGCGATGCTGCCTTCCCACAAGGAGGGAGGTTAGAAAAGGTCGACCCTAAAAATCTCACACCTCACAGATTTCCGTCTCCGGCGGTAAGGCCCTTTGAAGAACGGAGCTAACACGTCAAAAACCTTCCACAAAAAGGCCGTGCGCGACCGGCCTCAAGCAGTTGTCCCTTGGGCTCTGCGGTCACGCTCCCAGGTCGTCAAGACCAACACTAATCCAATTTCCTTTTCAGGTTCCTCAAGAAATACCCTTCCACGGTGTGGGCAGCCGGGAAGTGACATCAGCCCTCATACCCGTAACAGCACACGAGACCAAGGTGGTCACATTCAAATCCTTCCTACACCTCCTAATACCTCTCTTATCTCCATGACTAACCCTCCTCACGTCTCTTTATCACCTCGCACCGCTAGGGCAAACGATTCGAGTACGTGGAACGCCATTCCTGGTCTCCTGAAACCACGCTCTAAACTACACGTAGGAGCTTTTAACGTACGAACACTTTGCCAAATAGGACAGCAGGCTTCCTTAGCTAAAACTTTAGAATCTCGCGCCATCGATGTGTGCTGCGTCTCCGAAACGCGCATACAGGATCCGAGTAGCGTCATTCATTTGACCTCACCATGCCAAAATAAAGAACCGACTCGATTTACGCTTCGTGTATCTGGAAGCCCTGATTCTGCTTCCCGTGGCCTCGCCGGCGTAGGTATAGCATTGAGTCCTAGGGCAGAACTAGCTCTCTTAGAGTGGATCCCAGTAGACAGTCGTTTGTGCGCTGTCCGACTGAACGGAACAGTAAGAATCCGGAAAGATAGGGACACTCGTCGTTGCCTCTTCGTCGTCTCTGCCTATTCTCCCACTGACTGCAGCTCAGATGATGTAAAAGATGAGTTTTACAGAAAGCTTTCGGACCTTCTCCGAAAAGCTAGGCGCTCGGATGTAGTAATAGTGGCCGGTGACTTTAAT